AGGGAAAGCTGAACTATAGGTCCATTCAGATTCTAAGAATCTATCGTTCTAAGAATACAGGCAATTTTTAATTTCACTTATACAAAGGGAACAATATCCATTATCACCTTTCATTCAATGTATTTACTCAACAAACACTGCACAACTAATATCAACAAATGACTACATTAGCCCAATGAGATAAACAAAAACAAAACATGATTCTACTCCATCCAAAGAGCTATAGTCTGGGAAAGGAAATAAGACAGTTATGACTCAAGACAGAATGAGGTAAGTTCCATAAGCAAGGTACAAAGTGCTTTTCAAGGTTTTTCCCGCATAACTGATTTTGCTATATCTGAAAATCAATATCCAGTCAATTTTTGTAAAAACTGCAAATAACTCCCAAGATCTCGTAGGCACAGGTTTTATGTAACACCTTTGATGACTGCAAGGCAAGCTGCTATAGAATCTGAACACATAAAATAGCATACCTGGAGATGAGTAGTTATTAGAATGGATATGACTAAAAAGACAAATTCACAATCCAATCATTTTATATTCACTAATATTTAAAAATTGCATTATCTCTACCTCCAAAGACAATTTGAAATGGTGGCCCAATATTTTACTTGAAAAACTCTAACTAAATTAGAAATGTAACACATCCATCAAGCTTACCTCCTGGTTTTCTTTTATTCCTTTATCAACTACCTGATAAAATAGGGTCCTGGGGAAATAAGTCTAAATAGATTAAAAACTAGAATACTCCTAAATTTACATTTTACAAAGAACATTTAAATGAACCAATTTAAATATGAATCAATCTCACACCACATTCCAGGGAAAGGTCTCACCCTCTCTGTCTAAGTACAGGGCTTTTATTGTTTTGTTTTACTATACTTTATTTGTGTATACACTGATAATTACAATGGGAGACAACTGAAACAGGATCCAAATTAGGCTTGCTTGTGTATTAAAACACATCACTTATTGTTACATTGTCACCCAAGTTTGGATCATTTCAGCAGTGATTATTTGGTTTGTTAATTAGAATCCCAGTATTGCAGAGACAACAGGGCCCTTAAAGATGGCTAGCGCACAGTGCTTTTATGTCTTTTTTTCTTTTTCAGTACATGGCTTTTTAAGCAAGTCAATATATTTAACCAAAATAAATACATCAATAGCAGAAGAATGCTAGATGTCTAAGCACCACTGTATTCTAAAAATAAAATCCTCTGAATCCACCGTGGTGCTTAAAATGAACGTTTTTACATAATAAAAATGCTGAGAGCAGAAATAAAGCGTTTAGCTTAAGAGACAGAAAAGGCAATAAGCAATTGTTATTTCTGAAAAAGGAAAATTTAGCAATTTTATGAAAACCACAACAAATGGTTTCATGAAAAATTAGGAGTACAAAAAGGGTGTAAGACAGAAGTCAAGTCACCAGTTCACAGAAAATAAACACAGCAACTTAACGTACCACAGTCTGAAGGCATTGGTGCTGCAGAAATGGAAAAGATAACTGGTGTATCAGAACCTTGAAATAAAAATGGGTATCTTCCAATCAACGAACTTCCTTCTAATGGAAAATCCGGAAGGTCCTCTATGGTCATCTTCTAGAAAGCCACCTTTAATGAAAGGGGGGGGGGAAAGCGTATCTATTATATTTGTATGCAACTTAGAATAATTGCCTTCAGTCACAAAAAGCCTATTTTTTTTTAAAATATCTAATCTATTGACATTTTTAACTTCAACCTTCAAAGATCTATTTTAGAGAAAAAGGGAAAAAACTTCCTTTTAGCGAACTGTTGTTAAAGAATATACATTGCTTAACACTGTCTCTCAGGGTCAACAGCATATGTTATCTTTTTAGGCAAAGCTCGGGAGTAATAAAAAACTACTACTATATATTTCCTAATAATAGGTGAAAACATTTCTTACACACTGAGCTACTCTAAATGGGTGATGTTCTCTTTACTCGCAGTAACAAACGAGATGTTATCCCTTGCAGGTGCATCTCTAACTTCTCATAGGATCTGACACAGGTTCTATCATCTGTCATCCAGTAGCTCATGCCATGTGCTCATCACATGAAAAAAAATCTAGTTTAAAATGTTCTCATTATTTTCCAACATCCCAGAAAACTTTACTGAAAATTGACCATATCACTTGTACAAATCTAAATCTAGGAGCTTACCGACATGGTTTCACTTAACAATGCAGAGGATCTGTCTAGTTCATCCCAGCAGAAGATGGAGGGCCATGCCTCTTAAACCACATCACTTATACTACCTCTCTTTTCCAGGAAACATGAGCACTCAGAATAAATATGCTCTAAATTAGACAGCTGCTGCACCCCAGCACACATATCAGACATGACACAGAATGCAGAGAAAATGTCAGTAAAACTGAACTATGAAGCTAAAAACCTTCCAGTTTCTTTTGCACCAAATCTTTGCAGTCTGAAATATTATGAATCTCTATATCTGTTCAAAATATAAGCAGAAAACTATATTACAAAACTAAATAAAGGTGATTTTAGATTATTTCAGTAGAAAGAATAGAATAAGTAAAGATGGTTAACAGATAGCTTACTCTAGCGATAATGCCACGCTAGGTATTACTCAATGTGTGCTCTATTATACTTGGTAAACCAACTCTATGTCTATCACCTTTACCTATCATGCTTACCTACCATCACCACCCTGCTCCAAAGAAACAGTCACCTTTCTGAGCTAAGAGGTTTGTTTCCAATTAGATTCATATGTTTTCTGAATACCAGCAGAAACTGGTAAAGAGTAAGGCAATTTCTTTTTTCTCATAAGGTAAATGTTTACATGGACATGGATATTATATATCAAATAACTTAATACAGTGTTACTATGTTAAAGGTATTCAAGGTTTCTTGGATGCTAAAATTACTCGCCACCCAATACTTTGAATCATTTTGACATTACCCTGGCCACATAAATAGGGAAAGTTGTTGCCATACAGCATGGTGAACTTTCTCAAATACTAACAATTTCAAAAACTAGCGCCTACCACAAAGACAGCCCTCCTTCAATACTACAGCTTCTCAGTATTCAAAGTCAGTCAGGATTTCTACTTGTTGGCTTCTACAAATTACCTACCTGGCAGTAAATTTGAGCACAATAGTCTATGCCAAGTAAGAAACATCCTTTAAAGTCAAGGACCAGAAATAAAATTTAATAAATATTAATATGCACAAGGCACTACACTATTCTAGATGTTTCAGAGAATACAAAAATGAGTAACAGATGGTCCATGCTTGTTAGGTAGCTTACAATCTACTAGGGTGAATAAAATAGTACTAATAACTATAGACGATAAAACTGAGTGAAATATGTTCCATAACCTAAGTACAAGGAACATTTGTTATGGGAGTTCCTCAGAATCAGAAATGGTGCAGTGAAAAAAGCATCACTGAGATGAGTCTTGAAAGATGAGTAGGCAGAAACAGGGGCATAAATTTAAAAGGGGAGCCCATTAAAGGAACAGCAGGCTGGAACCTGGGCACATTTAGTAAGAGGTAAGGCTGTTGTGGTTTTTTAGGACTCTCCTCAGTAATGCTTTATATACCTGATCAAACACCAAACCACTTAATTCCATGAGCACTGGAAACGGTTGATTTTTTAAAAGGAGACTGTCCTGATTCAAGCTGTTTTGGGAAGGTTAATCTGACTACAATCACATTTTGGGACTCAGCCATGTTTTTAATGCTCCAGCAAAATGACTAAGTGGTTTTCTTTCTGAGCTGGTTAAGAGGAAGCCACCTTTCAAAACCTCCCTTTCAAAGAGTGGGGTTTCCCATTCAAAACTATTTTTTAAAGTGATCTTCAGAGTGTACCTTTCATTTTTTTGTAGACTTGAGATCCTTAAAGATAGGAACTGTATCTTACACGACTATCACTTGCCACAGGAGCTAGATTAGTGTTTTATACACATTTAATAAATATTCAAATCCTAGATTTGACGTGGAAAGATGATTCATTCAACAAGATGTAATCAACTTCACTTTACATATTAGATATTTCAAACCCATAGAAGCTACTATATTACCTGAACAATGCAGTGAATATTCTTCATATTTTGTGTCTGCACTGCATTTTCCCCTGGTCCCATTCCCTTTCTTTCACACGAAAAGCCCAACATTCTACCTTTTGTCCCACTTAAGAAAGCTATACACCTCCACAAACTTCTGTATAGTTTTAGTTTAGAATCCTTTCCTAAAAGCGATTTCTGGATATAAGGATCTGGGAATCTTGGTTAAACCTAGAGATGTGCTTAGCTGGATTGAGTATATACTTTCATTTCAAATCCTACTATGGTTACTTGGTGAGAATGGATCATGTAAAGATATCCAAGATTAAAAGTTGGCCCCAATTAACTGTGTACATAACAGATGCAATAACAAGAATCAACTTCCCCAAAGTTTGATTTACATATGAATCCCATCACCCCGAATCAGCTCTGAGTAAATGCAACTCGTAACATGGCTCTAATATTTTGTATTTTTTTTTCAGAGATACCTGGTCAATGCCCTAACATTAACATAAGTGCTAAAAACATAAGTGCTAACATAAGTGCTCAAAAGCCACATGTGTCTAGTGGCTACCATACTGAACACTGAAGAAAGAACACTCCCCTCATCTCAGAAAGTTCTACGGAATCAAACTCTAGACAAGAAAACAATATACAAATGCCTGAAACAACAAGGAACAAAGGCTAACAACCTAAGTAAGCCCATGGTAGCACACTTAATTATACATAATTAACAAGAGAACAGTAAGCCTAAAAGTAACCAGATGTTCGCAGATTTACACTGGGATAAAGTGTTAAGTTGATTCTGTAACAGGAAGATCACTAGCATGTTTCAAAATTGGAGTTGTTATAAGCCATAAAAGACATCATATAAATATTTTTCTAAAAGCCTTGCTGATAGGGCTGTTTCTGGTAAATCTGAAACGTCCGAAATAAATCCTGCAAAACACTATACCATGTGCCAAATCGTCTATAAAACAAATAAACACATTCATTCTATTTCAAGATTCAATCTTACAGCCCAGGTAGTCCATATCAAACAAGAGTATTTCAAAATGCATATTTATGTTAGCAAAATAGGATGGAAACCAGGATGGCTTTGCCTCATAAAAATGCAGAAAGCTAGACTTCTGCCAATTTCAATTATCTGCTTTCTCTGCACAGTTGCTACATGTCCCGCACCACGTGATCTTCTGCCATTTAGATGACTTTAATTCGTGCAGAAGATAACATAAATGACAAATGTCAATGTGAACGTGAAGTACAATTAAAGTATTTGGCGGATGTTTCAAAGGAGGGTGTTTCTTCATTGAAATATTTAAAGGGCACCAATTTATACTATGACGTTGCTGCAATGTGAAGCACAGTCTAGCTGGGAACATACAGCAAGTTATCATCCCATGAGAATATCCTCCTCTGATACATATCAAAACACTGTCTCAGAGTTTAAATCCAAATTGCCTACATAGTCTCTAGATTAATGAACAACCTGACATCTAATTCAAAAGAAAGCTGACGTTATAAACCCATCAATTTAACCCACAAGGATGAGGCGTCTCTGTTTAGCAGTCTCAGCGCAAGTGTTTTTCCTAACTTCCCTTCCCGTGATTTAGAATTAAGGAATCTCGGGGTAGCAAACGACTGGAAGCAGAGTCATTTGTCTTAGCTTTGAATTCTCACCGGCAAAAGGTTTCTCAAACAGCTTAATAAGCAAGGGGAGTAATGAGAGATGTGAAGAGGCCCCTTTCAGGAAAACCACGAAGGGCTGCGTACAGCACGCTGCCCATCGATGCGCGCGAGAGGCTCTCCCAAGGGCGTCGGGACGGTCAAAGCTGGAGCTGCGGAGCGGGGGCCGGAACTCAGTTCCGCCGGGGGTCCAGCCCGTCCCACACACCTGGCAGCATCTCATCCTGAAGTTAAACCGGCGGTGAGGAACAGAAACCACAAATCCGGCTCCCCGCCTGTGGGCCGTTCCGACCCCGCCCTCGCCCCAGGGAGGCCTCCAGAAGCCGGCGACTCCGGCGCCCACTGCAGGCGACCGCGGGGCTCCCAGCGCCTCCGCGCTGCCCTCCCCGAACCGCCAACCGGCCCTCGAAAACCCGCACCCCCGCCCGCCTTGCACGTAGCCCCCGCGCCCTCCCGCCCCACCTGCTTCCTCCGGTCCTCTCCGGGCGGCCGACGGGGACCGCAGGGGCGCGGAGAGAAGGCTAAGAGGCGCGCTTCTCCGCCCCGCACCGGTCTCCGGTAGCCGGCCGCGCCACGCTGCGCAGCGCAGCTCCGCGACCTCGTCCGGCCCCTCCCGCCTGCCGCCTCCGCGCCGCGCGCGCCGGAGCCGGGCCCCACGCGGGGTCGGCGCGCGCGCGCGCGCGCGCGCAGTGCAAGCGCCCCGGCGGCGCGCAGGCTCCGGCCCAGGCCCGCGCACGCGCCGGGGAGGGGAGACGGGGGGTGGGGGGGGGAGCGCGTGCCTTCGCCCCCGGAGCCCCCCCGCAGAGCGACGGTTGAGGCTCGAGGTTAGGAAGGTCTGGTGGGCTTCGGGCGTCAACCCTGCGAGGATGGGGCGCCACTG